TTTATTTTATTTAGTTTATTTTATTTATTTATTTATTTTTAAATAAAAACTTTGATTTCATTTTTAAATTAATTAATGTTTATCGTCCAATAAATCATTGCACATGACCCGCGAGATATTAGATATGTAATAGCAATCTATAAAATTCGAATATATTTTAATTTTAATTCTAAAGTATCAGGCCTAAGAATTAAGGCTCCAGCCTACAAAACGTCGCCGTTTTTCTAGTAAATATATACTGTATATTAATTATATAGCATCTATACTACGTACTAAAATTTGGTCGGTTAATTAAGGATATGATTTGTGTTTACCTGATTGGATTTATGACATCACGCAAACTTCAGGAAAAAATATCAGCAAGATTTTAGCCTGGACGCATTACTCAATCTACTTGCCCGTTGATGTATGACGATAACAAAACCTTTGTGAGAGCTTAATTTTTGGATATAAGATTTATAGAAGTCCGTTTTTGTATTTCGATAATTTACATTCCAAAAAAGTTTTTTAAATTAATCTTAACTAGAAAATTTTAAATTATACTATGTGGCATACTATCAAGAGGAATGGGTTTGGGCTTTCAATTATATCATTATTATTTGCCGAATTTATATCAACGATAAATTTTGTAAGCCGAACCTGATAAATAATAGCCCAAAGTCTCTTGGCAGCACTCAAACGATTCCTACACATTTCGTTTTTTTTAAAATTCACTTTTTACTTCCAACTAAATATCCTATATTATTTATTACTAGATACTCCACCTATTATATCGTTCATTTATCATTTATTATCAATACCATCACTAATTATTCCTACATATGATCATTTTGTTATGCGATTTGTGTACATGACAATAATCATGAAAACCTTTGTTATAATTCATTATAATTCCGAAATTCATAGATAAACAGATCATAACGATAATGATAATTAAGAACCGGGATTAAAATCGCCATGTGATGTGTCAATTTTATTTATCGATTTAATGTAAAAACGAGGTATAATTTTGATATAAGAGTTTAAATAGTCCTTCTAACTCGTCAGATTTGCAAGCGGCATTATTGAATTTTAAAATTGATCAACTACAACAGTTGTTAAGCGTGGAGATGACCCTGCGTATGATACATGCCAATAAGGATGCTTTACATAGAATAAGCGTAATTCTGGGTTATCCGGACAAGATGGGTTGTAGAGTGTAAGTTGGTTTTCTTCACCGTTTGATCGGTTTAATACATGTATTTGAGCATATAATAAAATTTTTACTCTATATTATACTGTATTTAGAAAAAGTATTTTAAAAAGAAGATTTATAATGGTTCTTCAAGCACTCAGATTGAGACATATTAAACGAGGTTTTGATACGTAAGGATTAACTCGTTTTGTTATATGAATATATATATTTTTTTATCCATTCTTATAATTTAATCTTATAATTGGTTTATCTAAAAGTGCCACACAGCGCCTTGGAGAATATAAGCCTGACACTGAATCCACCTCGAAAGTCGTTGCACCTTAGTGGAATTTTTTGAATTAGTTCACATTGCTGATTTGATGCAACAAATGGTTGAAGTATACTATAACGAAGAAATGATATAAACTAATGTCAATATTTGATACGTACTACTATAATATTGTACTATATACTGTGTTAAAATTTGACGATTTGGCTAATATTTATTAATCAATTTTAAATATAGAGCCGATTTATTGATAAACCAGATTTCTTTAATATTTGTATTAAGGAGAAGAAAACATTTTGTAGCTGGTTTGACAAAGGTATTCAGGTGGGTTTTTCGTATGTTGATAATAAGTGTATTTTTGATAGAAGTTTATAAATGTATTATTTTTTGTAGGTCCTTATTGATCACTAAGCACAGAACAGAGATCTGAAGAGTTTAATCTCCAATAAACACGCCACTGAATTTAAAACCCACAAAGGTATCCATTAAATGATAACCTACATTATAACCTATCTATCTACTTTTAATGAATACTGTTTCAATTAAAAAGGCAGTAGTAGAGTGTCTTTCATCACATGCCAAACTGGTAATTGGCTGTTCAGATAGATGTGTTCTTTCAAGAAATCGGGATTGGATTTTTTGGGTGAATTCATTTATCAACCCGTAAAACATAAAATTAATTTATGATAATTTAATATAGATCATTAATAAAACATCTGAAAAAGTTTACTGTAAACATTAACGGTGGTTTCCAAGTTATTAGGTAAGAAAAAATATTATTCATTTGATATTTCAAATTGTTAAAAAAAAAAAAAAAAACTGCTTAAATTGGTTTTATCAATCAATCAATCAAGTGATTTAAAGCATTATTGCTCATTCGCCATCTCTCTTAAACAACCAAGCGTCACTCCGTATTTTATTGCCCTTAAAAACTTTGGAATGTATATATTATTTCTAATGCTCGTGATGTAGAGTTATTCGTTAGAGAGGCAGGAAGATTTAAGGGTGTTTTCCTTGCTGAAGAAGTTTATGAATTCTGCCAAAAACGTGAAGATTGGCTTGCAATTAAGCATGCAGTTGAGAAAGAACTACAGTATATAGTTTAAAGCCTGAAGATTGCGTATTGATGTAATTACTAGTTCTCACCGAAAGTTAATGTTTTGATTATTACCGAAAAGGAATATGTTTAATGTTCTCGAAAATTTGGTTGGAATATAGAAATACTGTATTTCAAATTCTAAACTAGTTTTTTCTGAAGAATTAACGATCTACCTTAGTGGTCGTCAAATTTAACATTACAAAATATATAGATTTAAAATTAAGCTAAACTAATTATCGGTAATAAAAAAATAAATTAATGAAAATGTTTAAGTAGAATTTATGAGTAATATATTCTTATAATAAGAAATTTCATCAGATTGTATTCCTCCTGCGGAATCAAAACGATCTTTGCCAAATAGAATTATAAAATAACGGGTGACTAAGAAGGACGTTCACAGATAATTCTGCGGCCACGATGCGCTTCCAGTTCTTAATCATGGTATTGCTTGAAATCACCCTCGCTATATTGCTTTGGTTAAGATACACCCCCCTTGCTATATCTTTCAAAACAAAATAGTTTAGGTGACCGTACCAAGGAGTCCAGAACGAAGGGGGCCTTAAAAGGTACAGTTGGATTATCCCCGGATATCAAACAAACCATATACCATCATTTATAATCTATTAAAGCAAAGTCATCTTACGCTACATTGTTCCATAAAATAACATCTTTTCAATTATCGAAAAACAAGTAACGTAGACGAACTCGTAATAGGCAATCTGAAGGAAAAGGGATTTAACTACTACAAAAATTACCTTATGCGATTCTAAATCTTGTTTTCGTCGGTTGTTTCTTCTATAAATTGTTCAAATCACTTGAGGTTAAAAACACGATAGATCTTGGATAAAAATAATAGAATTTCTATTTGTACGGGGTGTTATATCTTTAGACTCAAATACATGCTAATCTTTGTTAAACAATCTAATTCTGGTCAAATTGCAGGTCGTTTGAAACTCAGCCAAATGATTTGCAAATTTGACCAGAATTAGATAGTTTTGACAAAGCATATAGGTAGTAATTGAAATTACAACAGATTAATATCAATTCCCAATTATAATCGTCAGATTTAAGTTCCAATCTCTCGTGCTATGCTAAACTATAACTGATACACAGAAAGAAAAATCATTGTATCGCGTAATACTACTGCATGTATACTATATTTCTAAACTATATTAATCCACCAAAATTTATGTGAATAATCGATATTTATGTGAATAATCGATTAAGCATATCGATATACTATATAATTGATTTTTTTTTTTCTTGATCAATTATCGATCAATGATTTTTTTGTAGAGTCAGTTCACTACTTGTAATTAGTGTTTTCTGCACTTTTAAAAGTCCCATTTGGCTTGCAAATATTACAACAACCGCATCTTTATTTACTGATTTACGTAACGATGAAAAAGATATCAATTCATTAATCATTTGAATCACTTGATTTATAAATTTTTTGGTGGCGATCAACATTTTGATTTTTAATTTATTATGTTTCAAAACTATCTATTACACTTCTAATCTTACAAAAAAACAGTATAAGCGCGAAATAACTCGCAGGGGTGTAATTTCGAATTTTGACCTAAATTAAGCCTAATTCGGGCCATTATTCAAAATAACGCCCCTGCGCGTTATTTCGCGCTTATACGATATGTTGGCTTTCCTTCTTTTTATTAAAGATCATTTACCATAAGGATAATTTGATGTGACTCTATAAAATTAAAAAAATAATAATAATAACGAAAAACTAAGTGTCATTATCACACCATCCTGTCACCATTGGTCGTAGTCTCGGAATATGAAGGTCACAGTTGGCGATTTCCACAAGTTGGCCCCTGTGGACTCACTCCAACCAGCGTAACTTACACCTCCACAATGTTCA